CACGAAGCTACTAGGGGCTCCTGGCATCGCTACTAGGAGCAAGGACGGGCTCCTGGCCTTACTAGTAGGAACACAAAGCTACTAGGGGCTCCTGGCATCGCTACTAGGAGCAAGGGATTCTTCAGACTCTGACGATCTCTGATGGATGCGAGGCTTTGCCGGCCTAAACATCAACGCAGCCTCGAAGGCCTTGTTACGAGATGTTACGAGCAGATTTAAAGCGAAGAGGTCCCAAGGTCTCAACATCCCTTGGATCCACATTTAGACTGGAGTCATCATTCAATCATCATTCAATCATAATGTTATTCAAGCTTCAATCAAACACATCCAGATCTTGACATGAGCTGTCTTTTGTACAATTCTGTATTCTGCAGGAATGCAAGACGCAAAACAGCGATCTGTCCAAGACGGTTTGTACTGCGGCGGTAGCAGGCAAGATCTGAACGCTTCATCCAGGAAAGTGCTTTAGGCTTCAGTAGAGAGATTATATATACAAGAGATTAGCTTTTCAGCTAAGATAATATGATGAACAGCAAGATGGACATTTAATTTCTCCAGTTTCTTATCAATATCTTACTGTTTGTTTGGACTTGTTAGAATACGTTAGACAGATTGTCCTGTTTCTTTTTTTGCCCACTTTGAGAGCTACCCTGGAGGCGTTCATGCAACTTTCGCTGACGTGGCTTCGAACCGCCGACGCATTTTTATTGCACACCTTCTTTTCGGCTGTGTAGATGTGGCTGTGATGCTAGTTGATGGAGATCGCAGCAAACGGTGAAACTGCCCAAACTCAAGCGACCTTGGATGCAGACAACTGGGAAGATAAGTGTATACAACAGAAAGAATAGACACAAAACTGCACAAATAGACACTCTACAAGCTGTTGGACCCCAAAAAGCTTCTGGAACAGAAGGAGGCATGGCCAGGTTCCTGTCTGCATCGGCCTCCGACTGCGCAGAAAACTTGAACAATGAGGTAGGCCAATCTCAACAGAGCAAGAATGGCTGTGACGTTTTGTCTTGGAAGAAAGAGAATGGTCCATATTGCTGAGAGAAGTCAGACAGAGAAAAACCGCTGCAGATGACCTTACGTGCTCAACAAAGCTTTGTTTGTGGAGGCTTACTGTGCTGCAGATTCTTCTGGCCTGGCAGGGTAGCTCAGATGAGCCCTGTGCGCATCAGCGTGACATTCGACGACCCAGCCATCCAGGTTTCGGCCCTGGCGAACATCGCAGGCTCTGCAGCGAATATGCATGCGGCTTGCCCCAGAAGTCATGCGTCTTGGCACTGAAAGGAGTCCAAAAGTTCAATGCTGACGATTGCTCATGGCTCCCACGAAAGGACTTACATCTTTTTTTTTTAATTTTTTTTATACTTGCGTGTTGAAGAAGACTTCTGGCACATGACAACTGTTGTACTGCCAAGTCAGCGAATATGGGACGACCCCGGTAAGCACCCTCAATATGTTCTCCTATGTTTCCTTTTTTGGGGGTGTAGGACAAGAAGAACTGGTAACGAGGTAAGCTCGCTTAGCTTAAGTACCTACTAGGCTTGCCGCGTCGGCGCAGAAGCTCTCGAGTTTTCATGATTGATTTCGTGATATGTTCAGGGACACTTGACATTTGGACATGTTTGATCCTTTTTGTAAGCAGCTTGTGAATCTGCAAGCTCAACACATGGTGAGTGTGATCTCTCTATATTTTTGCTGAGAAATATCTACATCTTCTTGCGCATGCACATAGTAGTCGCGATGGCCTCCAACCTAATAGCGATGGCCTCCAACCAAAGGGACATTAAGTTTTGATTTGTCATTCTCCTCGATGTAGCCGAAGCATCCTGCAGTTGAACATCCGTGATGAGATCGGCATCAATATTGACCGACGGCTCAGCGAGTTCAAACACTTGAAGGAGCCTTCAGTGGTTCTCTTGACATGTGCACATGGAGATAGACGACTGTAGTGCTCCCTTTTTCATGGGAATGCTGAAGTTGAGGCGCACTTGTTGACACTGGGAGTGAAACTGCTAGATCTAAACCAATACGAGATGTGATCATGTCAGAGAGCAAGGTTGATTGATAGTGGCCAGCGATTACTTTCCGAATTGTGCAGGACCTGAACAACATAACCGACCGTTGCTGGACAGTGCAAGATATGCAAGCACAAAATGCAGCCCATTTGTTTTTGATGCTGTTTTTTTGTGCCCAGATGGAGGAAGGTGCCAACCTTCAGTGACTGTTTGACTTGTGCACATCATGATCACCAAGTGCTTGCTTGCCCAAAGGTCTTGAAGGTTGGTGGTCCTGGATGCAATTGTAACCAGACTTCTTACCACAATAGTCTTACAAAGCCTTGTTGGGCCCAGGTTTGATCAAAGATTTGCTTGGCTCTGAGACATTCTTCATCATTCTCCTATATGGATCCCCCTCAAGGCTAAGCTGCAGTGCAGTCCTGCGGTATGTTTGAACAACTCCCAGGGTCTCTTTGACATCCAAGCCTTAGTCCTTGCAGAGTCCTTGTTTCGTAGTGCTTGAATGACTTCGAATCAAACCTCAAGTCCGGACTTGACTGATTTGGCATAGGAGCTCGCCCCGGCTGTGTTGCAGACTAAGGCCGGCGGCACCAATACAAAAGCAGGAGGAGGCCATGGCATTTTCTAAACGCATCAAGTGGAGCTGTCGAGATCCTGTCATCCTTCGAAGCAAGATGTGTACTTCAGAGATCTGTGTCAGGCTGAGAAAAAGGAGTTCAGAAAGACCTTGGACAAGGTGTATCTGGTGAAACATGAGGCGCTGAACGAAATGCTGTATGCGGTGGAAAGTGTTGGTTGGCACAACTGCAGAAAGCTGTCTGAGCCCTGGGGACCTTGTATGAATTAATTGACGTGATTGTTCCAGCTCAGTTCGATCCTGCAACAAGTTGACCAGGCGCTCTCCGATGCCCGCAAAGCGGAAATCACCGAGTGCGTTTTCAACTCACACTTTGTCCGCTGCCCAGTATTGACAGATTGATTTGCTGCTGCTCCGTCCTTGTAGCTGAAGTTGAGGGAAACCGATCTTGCCCTGAAATATGAAATGTGTTCTTCTTTTCAGTCCATTGATTCCCGACTCCCAAGAGGTTTCATAGAAAAAGTAGAAAAGAACAATAAAGAAAGCTCTAAAGGTCTAAAAAGAAAAAGATCAACTGTTTTCTATTGTTTTCTTCTTTTCGGTCGATAATTGAAAGTCTATGATTCCCCGACTCCCAAGAGGTTTCATAGGAAGGTGCTTTGCCATCACGAGAGCTGCTCCAGTTGCAGTTGCTTGCACCACCGAGATAACCTTTGAGCCACGAGGGAACCTGGTGTCAGGACAATACCAGTGGACATTCATAGCCAAGTGGCCACTGAGGTGAACAAGGGCATGTCCTGTACAACACTCTAGAATTTGCCCTAGGAGTCAATTGCTCATTTGTTTGAAGGAAAGATGATTCAGGTCCTTGTAACCCACATGTCATTGCGAACATGCGAGTGCGTACAACGTGGGCACGGAGTAATTCTCTTGCACAACAATGGCTTTCAAGTCTGTCGAGGACAAAACAAATGCAACAATCACGAGACCGTGCTTAAACCAATCGAGCCCAACCATGAAACTGACAGACTTTGGACGGCACTGCAAACGCGAAGACAACAGGTAGGTCACCATGTCAGTGTCTATGAAAGAAGAGAATACAGTTACATTCGATTCTCGGTCGAGAAGGGACATGAACATGTCAACAAGTTTGGCAAAGGGCACAAACATTCCTCGAGGATGAAAAAGAGACAGTAGCCAAGAGTTAAAGGTCATCAAAGGAGCAGAATACTCACCACCCAGACTTTGAACAAGGCCCACATGGTTGTTCATTTTGAACGGACAATGTATTGCGTGCATGCAGCTGCGGGATGTATCCATTGAATCTCTCCTCTGCAGTCAGCGCAACTCTTGGGCCGGGCAATTTTGGCAATCAATGCAGGTGCACAGGCCGGACGGTCTTATCATCTCGCTCTTCTTTGTTTGCACTGATTCTGGTAAAGAAGAAAGTTATCAGTATTATCAGTATATCATTAGCATTAGACATGGGACCGACAACCTTTGCAAGTAAGACGGGTAGGTCAGGGGTTTGGCAACAGATGCTGGAATCATGCCAGATGAGCTTCAATATACGCTTCCTTTGGTCCACGAAAGAATACTATTTCCTGCCTAGAGTAGTAGTAACAGGTGCCTTACTAGTAGTAACCAGAAGCTCGTAGAAACAAGTGCATCGCTTCTAGTAACAAGACCTTCAACATTTTTCGCTCTGAGATGTCCATGAGGATTGCACTGACTTCAACTTCAAGGCCCGATTGATGCCGTACTTTAATGCAGGTCTTCTGTCACGGTATTTTTCTTGGTTCAATACTTGTTGCATGGATCATAGCATACTAGAATGTTGGCACACCCTTGATGTGTGTTTGACCGAGGTTCATGTGTTCATGTGTTCGCCTTCACGGCTCACAGCTGGCAGCAGCATTTGCTCAGTAGAGTCTACGGAGTCTATAGAAGAAGACTCAGCAGGCATATGTGAATCTATGACTGACCCAACCGATTGAAGCCCGCCAGGTCAATGGTGAAGTGGGTCAAAAAGTGTGTGCCGTGGATCTGGGAGGTCACTTGCTTAGCTTTTGCTTCGCTTGCTGGGTAACGATGAAAAAGGTGTTTGAAGATGGTTTGAGCACTTCTTTTGCGACCCTGTTGTCAAGATTCTTGCTGTTCTGGCAACTGGACCTCAGGTGTGATTGGCTCCTTTGTGTCTATGGGGCATCTTGGCACTTCAGTGAACAGGTGTAGAGGTACATGTTAACAAATGCGAACTGCTCGAAGGAAGGGACGCAATATACATACATCGATGAACATTGTGAGCGAAGGGATCTGTGTTGTTTTATCGCTTGGTCTGGTCTCCGAATCCGGCACTGACTCTGTGCACCGCTTCCTAGGCAATTCCTCTCAGCCTTGTCGTCCAAGTGCACCGGGAAGAGCGATACCCATGTGCCATGCCTGAAGCAGAACAGGAGTCATGAGTGGATTAAGCTACATCCACACTGTTTCAATGTGCGATTTCCACGTAACCCTGGAGGAAACTCAAGCCCAGAGCGATGACCATGTTTTGTTGTTGTTTTGACCAGGTCAGACACACGGCACTTGGAGACAAGTCGTAAGACTCAACATGTTTGTCTCGCTAAATCCAAAATGGTTGGGTGCTGAACGATAGCTCAAGAGGCAGAGCATGAGAAGGGAACTTCAATTGGCTTGCACTGTCAGTGAACGTTTGCTAAATTGAGTACAGCCTTGCCTTGGAGCCGGCTATACTGATGCCATGTATTCTGATTAACCCAAGCTTTGCAACCTTTGCAAGGCAGACTGCACATCTGCAGCTTTCAATGTGCTTCGCTGAGTGTTTGAATACGGATTGATGTACAGCCTGTTGGTGATTCGGAATGTCATATTTGCAGAGGCCATGCGGGACTACAGACACATCATGGCACTGTTAACGAACGGCAGATCAGGTAGATGTTTATCTTGACCGTCGGGTCATACGAGAGCATTTTTGACTGCGGAGGTCATTGGAGCGATCGATGCCCTGGCAGTGGTCGGCGCAAGCTTTCCGCATTTCCCTCAAAGCTCAGCACACTGTTTCGGCCAACACGTGAAAAATACTATTTGGCAACTCAGTAAACGCAGTGTGTCTAAGAAGCTACTAGTAACAAAGGGCATCGCTACTAGGAGCAAGAAGCTACTAGATGCTACTAGTAGCTCCTGGCCATACTACTAGTAACAAGAAGCCAGATGAAAAGGCTGGTCTCCAAAAGGCGCAGGTTCCCACAGCTTCCCTTTGCCAGAAAGTCTTCGTTTTTTGAGCGGAAAGAAAAGAGTCCATACAGATGCCCAGTTCCGTCGCAGTCGATCAAGTCACGATGCGTCAATTCATGGTTGGCATGTTTCGGATCTTCCAACTCAATCGAGATCGCCTGCTTCCGCAATTCTTTCATTTTGGAGTCTCTACCTTGATGAGGCTAACCTGTGGGGGCGAGGGCTCTGAACGTTCTCCTGACCTGTTTGGTCCTTCTTGGGCAATAGTGAAGTGGCGTGCAGAGGGTATTGCAATGCCACAACATGACTGGTTCCATCAAGACAGAGAAAAGGAGCTTGAGGCTTGCGGCCTTCCGCAGTCTATCATCATCCCTTTGCATTCTTTGCCAAAACACATGCCTTGCATTCTGTCACGCATGGCCAGTTGACTACAAGGAGCTGATTCTTCCGTGATTTCGCTCGCATGCCTCCCAATTAAACAGTTCAAGGCTCGTGCATGTTGGAGCTTGAATTGACCAAGATCGTTACCTCAGAGATGCAGCAAAAGAATCCGGGCTTTTACCTCAAGACTTGTTGATAACACTGGCCAATCGTCAAGCCCGTACCATCAGCAGCGACACTGTTGGAAAGTGATTCAGTTTCTTGCATATTGACAAATCCGGCTAGTCAGATTCATGTTTTCATGTTTGAGACGGCATTTCTGCAATATGTCTGCAACATTTTCTGTTTCATGCTTGCTGTCCTTAAAGTAGGGCCTTTTTAGAATTCTTAAGTACGGTGTTCGGACAGTAGATTTGTTCAATGCTCCACAACGTGCAAGAGTCAGCCTCAACCATTTCCTTGAGCCCATTTTTCTCCTTGGGGTCAAGGAGATTCTTTTTGGGTTGTCAAGCTAGGTCTCTCTTTCTCGCATCGCCGCTAATGAAGTTGACTCAAAGAAAGTCTTCGAACTGGTGATCAAAGGACTGGGACGCCCTTGAGTAGCTTGCAGTTCTGCCCATGGGGCTCATGAAAATAAATACATATAAAAGCAATTATAAAAAATACACAATATAAACAATATGTATATATACATACATATCATACATTATACATATATTATACAAATGTGCAACTTGTTTGCCACACTTGGAAAGCATCCAGACGCTTTGTTGTGAAGGTTTGCCCAGTTCCGCTCTCCCTGATTAGTGCATTAGCCTGGCTGCGAAGTCTGCCCAGCGTAGAAAAGGTCCAGCATTGATCAGAACCTGTGGCGCCAACAAATTATATAAGAAGATTCTGAAGTACTCTGGCAGGTTTTCAAGTGATTCTTCAAAACAAGACTAGTTGCTTACATTCAAAGGCAGATCTCGAGCACAGGCCTTTGACCTCTTTGACACTGACCAGTCCGGTGAGATTGATCTCAAAGAGCTGAAGGTGGGCTGGAGCCGGTGGAGCGGATGGAAAAGGGATGTAAAGGCAATGCAAGGGATGAAAGTTGGAAATCCTTTCGGTTGACCATCGGACCAGGGTGCAGTATTTTGGACCGGCCACGGTTTCTGCAGAACGACCACGGTTTCTGGCGAGAACCGTGGTGCACTGTAATATTGCATATTCTGTGCCAGGCAGCGATGCAGTCTTTGGGCTATGAGAGCAAGAATGATACGCTGCACCGGCATAACTTGGCATGGAAGTGGTTTGAAGCATGTCAGATGATCAGAGCAACATCTTGGCTTTCTTCAGAAAGGTAACAGATCAAATTAAATGTGGTGCTGCAGGTAGTTGGTTTATTACCAGTGACGGTGATCACTGTGTTCAATGCCAGAGCAAATTGCATTTACCTGCAAACCAGGATCTTCACAATGCTGGCTGAGCTTGACAAGGAGCTATCTCAGACGCTTTTCCTTTTCACCTTGCCACTTTCCATGAAACTCTTTTGGTCCGACCTTGACAGGGACAGGGGTCAGCATAGAATTCAGAGAATGACAGTGGGGAAGGGCGCCTGCCGAAGAAAATCGTTCTTCACAGTCTAGGTTGAAAGGAGATGATACACTTCAGCAACCTTTGCACTTCGGAGGATGGCAATGCATCGCTAGATTTTGAGGAGTTCTTGGACTTGATGCCAGAGCCTCGACGGACCTGACAACACAAAACCATCAAGTCGTCCCGTTTTCACAACCTGTACACATCATGTACTGAAAATGATGTGTCAGTTGTGGTTTCAATTTGGGCATTCAGTGATGGTCGTAGCGGCAGGGGGGAAAGCGTACCTTCCGAGTTCAAGAATTGGTCGAAGTCGGCAAACTGTCGCTGTGGAGCAACTGATGTGTCCTGGCCTGTCCCTTGCACAGGTCGGGGAAGGAGGGAAAGGAGGAGAAAGATACCAAGGAGAGGATACTGTATAGCATATACCTGAAACATCCTGAATTGTGACTCTGTATATCCGGCTATGTAGCAAGAACATGTCACTCGTTGCCCCTTTTACTACCAATCAAACATGTGGAACATACACTGTGGTTTGTCGAGTTTCATTGCAATACATATCGAATCAAGTCACCTTACGTACTTGTTAGTTACCTATGAGGCGAGCATGTTGATTCGTGCATTTTACATATGATCTATACTTTATATAATTACTGAATAGTGTGCAAAAAAATCAACAAATCAGGGCAGATGCCGGTTGCCTAGCGGCTTTGCTGGTATGCCAACAGGTCGAAGGGACCTTAGACCTTGACAAACTTGACAAAGCGTCCAACGGCAGGAGGAGATCGACAAGATCTTTAGACTCTTCGACACAGAGGGAAAAGGCTTCATTGTCAGGGCCTTCATCCTTTGCTTCTTATGCCAAGAAAAGTATGCAGTTCTTCAATACTTGATTCTTGTCCATTGAGCAAACAGTAGGTTGTCGCTTTGCAGTGGATTTTAAACTGTGATCTGAAAGCTTTTGTAAGGAAGTGAAAGATGTCCAAAAGGCCAGACTGAGATGACTGGGGCAAACAAAGCACAATCACAGATTAAGTGGATTGGCTCAAATGTAGCGATTTCAGGGGCTTCCTCCTCACTTGGGACTTGTCAGCTGATACACGGCCCATCTGATCCATTGCCTGGTATTTGACTTTGGCTACGTTGCGCTGCCGCGTTACCGGACTGCCAGGTTTGCAAAGAGCTAGGGGAGCGGCTCACCAATGAGGAGATCACAGAAATTGTGCGAAGGGCATGCCAAGACGAGTCAACTGCTTAGTTGCAAATATCGAATGCATGCTTTCTAGTCCCAGCCCCTTCACAAATAGACAGTTCGGAGACTTCTGCAGATGCTGCGGATTCAGGTCGAAGGGTGAAATCACGCAAGAGGACCGAGAAAAGCAGCAACTGTGCAAAGAGGAGAATGCCAAGGATATGTATATATAATATATACATATATATATAGAGGCATATTAGTACGATCACGATATATTCTGAACAGTTGACTTTTGAAAGGGAACTGACTCGATTCAAGGCCTAAAAAAGCAGACCTGCTGTTCACATCTCGCATCGACATGAAACTAAGTATGCACTCCTTCGTGATAAGATTGGCTGCCAGGATTTCTACATCGTCATGACAAAGAAGACTTTCCCATAAGCGGTTGGTCTTCTGTAGTTCGAGCCCTTCAAAGAGTTCACGGCGGCAACAACAGCCCGGCAGTGATAAACTTGAAAGGCTCCATGCGCACAGTTGGCCGTCTCTTTGAAATTTCAGGGTTAGCTTAGTCAACTTCGCTGCCTGTCTCGCACCACCTGACGGATGATCCGGATCATGCCTGGAAGGTTTTCACTGTTGAGCATGCGCTTGTGTCTCGGGGGCCGACCGTCAAACCGAGATCACTGAGGTATATAGTTTGAACCTTACAATAATAATGTAGCAGCTTCTGGACAATTGTGAATGAGATTCTGTGTCCCCACGGTTTGCATTTACATGCTTTGGCACTGGACACATGAACGCTGTTGGTTTTTGTCCCCAAAAGAATAGACTTAGTGCTTTCAACACGCTTTCAACGGGTGACTAGGAGATCTGAGAATCCGTTGCATTAAACAGGCCTTTCAAAGGCATTTCACCTCGGCGCTTGTTCCATATTGTGTGTCCTGATATGGTCTTATCATATCTGTGTGGTCCGATGTATTTTGTGGGGCACTTTTGTTGGGAAATCACTTCAGGAGCTTTTCGAAACAGTGCCGTGTTGCGTTTCCTCCGTCAGCGTCGTTCTCGCACCGTGGCGTTTCACCGTAGCGGCTGCAAACTCGCAGACCTACGCAGACTCGCAGACCGAAACATCGTGTGGCGGTTTATGGATGAACTGGAGCACTCGGTTGACAGTGCTTCTCCTTCCTCGTGACCGTCATGCTGCCTTTGCGGCCTATGCTTGAAACTGTTGGGCTGGTTTGAATGCACTAACCGACATGGACAGGAGTCTTCACATGTCCCACAGATCTTGCACTTCCCTTATTTGATGTCAGGGTGCGCAACAAGCAAGAGTGATCAGATTTAGGACACATTTGTTCAATCTTGCTAACATTAACTTCTGATTGACCCTTGCTCACTAGAGAAGTTAGTTAAACATGTTTACACTTGCGTATGCAGCCATTTTGGCAAAGCCGCCGTAGCATGGACTGTGCGCAAGTAACAGATGCGAGATTCCAAACAAAATCAAACAACACCTTCTTGCAGACCAGCTCTATGACCTATGGATACAAATATCAATTTGACACCGACATGTTATAATGCATGGGTATTTTGGGGTCACCATGGGTTATCCAAAGAACCTTTGAAGCACCTTTGCATTGTTTTGCGCTGGAGATTGTTTCCCCTCGCAGTTGAGCTGCGGGAAGCTGCAGTGCAAGTTGCGAAGGGGGTAGCTCAAATTAACTCAACACTTGGGTCAGAGTCATAGTACCTCAAGAGATAAGTTTTCCCATTGATGTTTATTTTTTTGGTGGACACTTTAAAGCATCATCAAACACACTCATCCACTGCAAATAGCATCTACTACATCCAGCTGAGCTTATATATAAATATATTTTTCGAGAATGAACATAACTTGTGCGCGACACATCCAGCTACCTCTTGCTCTGCTCAATGTCCTTCCGTGTATTCGTGCGGTGGGGTGGCCGAGAAATTCACGAGGAAATCGACAGTGCCAGACCTGCTTCGGCGACGAATGTCTTGGACCTCATAAGGACAGGACTTGTTCTCATGTAACAAACGAAGCCAGTATCTGTCTACCATGCCAGAGTTCAATGCAAGGATCAAAGAACAATGCTTCTGTATGTCATGACTGTGGACTGTGCTCCATGCACAAGCTTGAACGGATACACATGATATTGTTCAGCCGCTTTATGCAGGAAAACATGGGGTCTTCCCTCAAGCTTCTTCACATTGAAGTGGGGCGACGGCGATGGCACAATTCTCTGTGGGTCAGAGTTATTGCGTGAATTAAGCAACGGCAACTTTGGAGCATTTTTTGTTTCTTGCTCTTTTGTTTAGAACATGGTTTGCGTGCGTTGTTCTGTTTGTGTTTTCCTACTGCGTTTTTTTGTACATAGTATATACAGCAAAGAAGACAAGGAGGCTAATAGGCAGAGAAGCAACCACTCAACGAAGGAAAAGAGGAAGGAAGAAGGAAGGACGATACCAAGCAGAGAAGGGTAGCATTGGGCAGCTAGCACGTAAGGATGTCCAGAAGCGCTCAGACAAGCCTTTGGCTCTTGTTGCAAGACACCTTCCGCTCTTAAGACTCACCATAATCGGTTGCCCCGCTCTCGGTATTTAACATTGAAATGCCCGCCATGCCACCACTGACCCAAAGAAAAAAGTTATTTGATTGATTGGTTTTTCGGTGCCTATTTTTATGCAGCGTTGGTTACTTGGGACTTTACCGTGGCAAGGCGCTCTCTCCCTCTCGCTTCCCTTGCTGCGTTTGGACTCAGCGTCGCAGTGGTCCGAACAGCTACAGTATCATGCGCTGGTGCAAATACTAGCAGCGCATGTGACCAGTCATGTGACCGTGTCCAATGCATTTTAGCAAGTTTAGTGTTCACTGCAGTAATTTGTGTGTGGCGCACCGGTTTTTCAAATGATATTTTTGTTTATTTACTGTATTTTGTTGCAGTCCTTCCAAAGCTGGAAGCAAGCTCTCAATGTGCACCCTGCTCTCCTGTGCTCCACCGATCCTTTACTCCTAGCTCTCTGGCTGCTGCTTTGAAGCTTTGGAGATGTGCTGGTGCAAAGGGTCCCGAATGTTAAAGTTGCTGTGCTGATCAATTATGTTCCTCAAACCAACCAGCTGGAGAATTCGGCACGTGAAGCATCATTGTGCATGCAGCATCTACGTAATGCCAACGGATCTTGAGAACTGGATGGAAATATGAAGAAAGGGCTCAAGCATTAGTCATTAGACCCATTAGACAAGTCCTGTAGACGATGTGATGTTTTGGACCTCCTCGGAACTGTTGAGGCGAGCGCGAGCAACCACTGAAATTCACTGTAGAACCCGAGATCTCGGTGATGGAAAACTTTGTGAAGGCACTGCACAGTGATTTGGCGGCGGGAGCAGACGCTCCAGCTACTTGGCAGAACTCTGTGACTTGTGTTGATTTCCAAAATATCTTGTGTAATGTTGGGCATGCGGCACGCAGACTTTGTTGATCCTTGCCGATTTATATTTTTCACAGTTGCGCCAGCTATTTGGTTGGTGGCACCAAGGTGGACCTTGAAGAAAGGCTCAAAGTAGTTGATGCCATCAAAGATTGTGGGGAAAATCTGCGATGCGCCGAGTTGATGACTGAAATGGAAGCCCTACGGCCGTAATTCTGCGCGACTGCGTGTCGAGCGGATTTCTTTTCGACTTGCTTTTTTTCTTGGCCGCCTAGAGGCCGAGTGCCTCCGAGGCGACTTGCGACTGTTCCAATTACTGTCATGACTCATGACTGCAAGGAGACGGTTAATGATGAGTGAATTATCCTGGAAAAGAACCGGACAGAGGCAACATGTCAACATGCTTGATTTTGCTTGATCGACTGACTGTATGTGTGGTTTTTAATGCTTTTTCAGTTTTCAGTCCAACAAGATTCGACAATGGTAGCTTGTTGATTGTTGTGCTTTGCTTGTGATGTGTGTGGAACATTCACTTCAAACCATGATGACAGTTGCAATTTGCTTGCAGCTGGGAATGTGGCAAGCACACTACCACGGTGGCAAGTGGCGTAAACGTAACGGTCGGACATTTCACGCTGGAGACGGACATTTCACGCTGGAGATCCTTCAAGCTCAAGGGGACATGTTTTCGATGAACAATTGGCATGGCATATTCAATATGGGGTGGTCCTTTTGGACGCGGCCTTTGAGTTGTGAATCCTTGTGAATCTCAAAGAAGGGACTGCAATTTTCAGCAAGACGCGGCACTGGGTGCTATTATGTGCTATTAAACTGGCAAGACAGCCAAACTTTGTTGGCAGAACTTAAATTGGAACATGCACTGAAACTTCATCTCAAGCAAACATTTGTTATTGCTTCCAACCCTTGCACCTTTGACGCGGGCATGGCCTGGACACCATGGTGCGGGGTTCAACGACCGGGCTGGGGAACCTAAGTTTATCCCGAAAACACATGGAGTTTGTTGGCTTAAATTAAACTGGAAAACTCAAACATACATGGAGCTCAACGACACTGCCCGAGGGTCAAGGTGTTGCCACACTGATGTATCGCAATACTCAGTAGTGCCTTCCACTGTTTTTTCTTCTAATGTTGTGATTTCACCCAGACAGCCAAGAGTGGTTGCAAAGAACTTGGTCGCCTCATGCTGTTCCAACGGTTCGTGTCTTCCATGAGTCACAAGATTAGCATTGGTGATAGTCAACCTGATGATTTCTGCAAAACTTCAGCTCGTGGTGTGAGGCTCATTCGGCCTGCCGCTCTTGGAGTGCTTTCAGGATTGGTGGTGTTGGTCCTGCTGCAATCAAAAACACAGGACGCTGGGCATCGTGCGGCACAAAAGGCAAACGGAAAGAATGTGGGTCCCTGTGCTGCGATTTCGGTTCCACATATGTCGCAATGACACAAGTCTTCAATGGAGCACCAAAAGAGAATCTTTCGCCTTGTGGGCTTCAGACCCTGTTTGTAAAGCTGTGGCTTTGTGTCGAGGAGAAACTGTTCAACACCTTGCAGCCCGGTTTACTGGCGCCACTTTGCGGCACGGCAAACAATGTGCCAGGATCAACACATAGTGAATGCCAGCAGAACCATGCAGTTTTGCGGATAATTTAGCAGCTTTGAGACTTCATATTTACCTTTATACTGTCTATTTGTTCCTTTTTGCACAGGGTTTAGATCCAGCTGCGTTGCTGCGTGTGTGCGTGTATCTTTTGTGAGGGAAGATGGCAAAGATTGTTTGGCATGTTATTTTTTCTCTCCGAAACTGTTGCAGGCTGACACCACAGGCTCCAAGCAGAGAGGAGGGCAGAAGACATGCAAACGTTGTAATTTCAGTGTGTTGATCCAGATACTGTATCTAAATGACATTGTGCGAAGCTAATTATTGATTTTGTTTTCCAGTCAAAAGAGAATGTTTGCATGCAGGAAAGGCCGTCCAGAACTCTTCGGCCAACCCCGGTGACGTCCCTTTCCAGCGTTCTATGCGCATGGCGGATGGGAGTGTGGTGTATACTGTAAGTGTACCCACCTCCAATGTGTGTTTGTCACAAGTCTATGATGCTGCATACATGAGTTGTAGACGAAGGAACCTCATAATTATGATAAATGTCTCAAGCAAGGTAATAGTGGACCGGACCACCCTCCCAAGAACTAGATCAAGAAGCTGGGCTGCCAGCTGCACTTCTTGCTTACCATCAGAATCCCTGTGGTGAACTCTGAGGCCCTTGCCTTCAGCTACCAACGAGGCTAGGGTGTTTTGATGCGTCCTGATGATTTTTTGCACCAGAAACGGTTGACACTTGCTAGCGAATGAACTTAAACATATATAGCCATACAGTCCAGTCAGTCTGTGTTGTTGGATGTGCTCATGTCCCACTAGCATAGCTCAAGGTCAAAGAAACCTTGGGGAGCACCCCTAGCGATGAAGAACGTCGCGTGCTGGAGGTGGTGAAGAAGAGGGCAGGAGTGTA